GAGCGATTTCCATACGTAAATGTAAAGACGCTTCCAACGTTTCCTCGCGATAGCATGTGAAACGACCATGCGGGGATAAAACCCTCCATAACTCCGTTCAGAGAATCGTTCTGCAAATTTTGAAGACAGTTCTGAGTTCACCGTCCCAAGACGCGTACAACGGTGTGCAGCTCATTGGAAATGGCCGGGCTGACCTGTTGACCTTTCCTGGTGAGAGGGTAAAAGCGGCCCTGGTGGCGTAACGGATAGCGCACTCGCCCGGAAAGCGTGAGGTGCGGGTTCGACTCCCGCCTGGGGCACGACTTTTGCCCACAACTCAGCATTCTTGTGATATCCTAACCTCACAATTTTTCTACGGTGCTCATCTAGCACCTCAGAGAGGACCTGAAGAGCTTCGTTATTGTTCACATTCGCAAAGGGCGGTAACACCAAAAGACTGTTGCACAGTTCTTGCAGATTTTATGGAGCCTACAGGAGCGTAGGCGATTCACAAATCTTCCGGTGTTCCCTAAGTGTGATGGTGTATATCACACGAACTGGCCAATAATTTTGGGAGGAACCACGATATGCGATCTTGCTGCTGGCCAAGAGCGATGTCGTTCCTGGCCGATTGAATTGCAAATAAAATGTTCTTTCAGCCATTTCAGGTTAATGACGACGACGATTTAGTCGAAACGTCGAACAATAAATGGCTCAATATTAAAAAAAGCAGTGTTCGACAGAGTATTTGCAGCTGGGCTGACTTTACACACTGAACCGTCACTACGCCTCCGAAACAGCTACAGTCCTCATCATTGCGGACCGGTGGGGCGTGGCAGTGCGGCTGCTTTGGTGCGGTTTGGCAAAATCGTTCTGCACCAGTTTTTGAAGCGGGCAAGTGCATTACTGTATTATATCCTTCGTATTACTCGTTTTCTACCACTTTTTGTCGCATACGCGTTGCAAAAAAAGGCTGAGAACGGCTTCAACAGTGTGCGCACTCCTTCTGGCTGACACGCCCCACCGGTCCGCAATGATGAGGACTGTAGGTTCTGGTGCGAATGCCGCGCGCGTGATCCCGCTTGTGATGCTTCTTTTGCCGCAGCGTGGCATGTAGGTGATGACATCACTCTTTTCTTATCTGAATTTCCATCTGCACTCAGTGCAGGCATGCAGAGAGTGGACTTCTGCAAAAGCATTGTTGTGTGTAGGCCTGCCATTTCACTTACATTGACATTGCAGAAAATTGGTTCGGAATTTTATAACCAGCCGGGCAGTACAGTGGCAGGATAAGAGTTAATTGCGCCATTACTTATTAAGATCTGCAAAAATATTTATGACTGGAGCGAGATAGAGAGGCTATCCAGCACATATCATAGCTGCGGTTTTTCAGAACTTTCATACTTCTCTGTCTACTTTAACAAAATGTACCTTGGTAATGAAACCAATATTACTCGATGATAAACTTTGCCGTAATATTATAGACCCGTCGTAATATTGTAGCGAGGCGCTTAGATCGTGATTGTGGCGCAACACTGCAGGGGGGGGGGGCAAAAAAAAGTCATTTTGCCTCCATGACTTTCAAGGCTATAAGTTACACTTTATTAAATTTTTATCGGACATTTTTACTACCATATTAAAGAGCACAT